TATATATATTGGACAGGGACTTGGTTCTACCCATCAGCTGTTGGCTGGATTTTGTGATGTGGGCGTTGCACTAAAAAAATAATGCGAGCTTGCGATTGATTGTGGAGGGGCGGGGTTTAAGCGGACTAAATGAATGGAGAAGTCTGGTATACATAAAAGAAAAATATGTTGTTTTACCGGAAGATCGAGTTATGGCATTCTGATTAAACATTCTGTGGTCAAAAAATTAAACCTAGATTGTATTGTGAATGACTCACCCTTGTATATAACATGTATTTAGAAAACATGGTGAATAGATGAATTTTAATTTCATGATGATTCATCATGCTAAGAAAAGATTGGTTTGAAATGACACATGTACTGTAACGTTATCCTTGAAACTCTTGATGGCACATCCTACAGTTCCTGGTTGCATATGCAACATGCATACAAATATGCAAAATATCATTTTACAATCATGGGTACCTTGAGCTGCTGAAGGTTAGTGGCAGTCTTCCAATCCTTGTCGTCTCGCATTCGAGTGCATCGTGGGAAGCGGATGGATATGCCATCTGCAGTGTGCATTTCTGATTTGGAAAACTCTGCTCCTGTTATTTCCCAAACTGGTGCTTTCTGCAAGCATTGACAAATGGGATTTATTACTCCTTACAGTCCAATACACAACACAAACTAAATTGAGTTTCAATTCAGTACAAACATCTTAAACATTTGAGTGTTGTACGGTCTATTAAACACATTCATCTGAGTTAAAGAGATAAGCCAATAAAGTTCCTTCATTGCCATCACATACTCAACAGTAACCAGGCTTTTAACAGAGTCTCATCAAGCTCATTTCACATTACAAGCACATAAACATCAAGCATCCCTTCGGTCGTATTAGGAACCCCTTCAGTCTTACTTCTGGATCTCGGATAATGAAATCTGGGTAATAGCTCTTGACGATCTTCAACCATCCTGGGATCTTGCTTGGATCCTGTGATAGCGAGATGGATAGGAAACTATTGTTATGTATCTTTTATAAATCTGATGGGGCAATGGAGGCACTACTGATTAAATCAGAAGATTTACCTTGCCAATTTTGATAACGTCCAACTCCTTCTGCAGTCTGGCTAACGTGGTGTCGTCATAGCCTCCTGAACACTTGGTCACAGTGCACCACTTCTTGGATTCTGGGTCATAGCATCCCATGAGGAAACTGGACATAATTCCACCTGGCACACAGAAAAACGTAATGTTTCAAAATTGTTACACTCTGAAGTTTAGTTATTGTTTAAAACAATTTGAATTGGACTGCTGATACTGACCATTTGAGCCTTTGCCATAAAAAGCTCCAAGCACCACAAGGTCAGCGGTGTCCGCCATTGCTCCTTCATTCAGATAGTCCTTCTTCACCTTCAACCAGTGTCGTTTGCCTGGTTCATAATGTCCCTGCAACAGTAATTAAGCCACAATGCAATGCAATCATTTCAAATGTGATGAATTATCCAGAAGTAACATCAACCATGATTTTAGTATCTATTTGACCATACTGCTTGGAATTGAGACTTTTGCCACACAAACCAGATGACAAATGCAACATCTTTATTTCCTAAACAGTAATTGGATGCCATTTGATGAATCAAGGACTGCTCACAGCAACGCAAATTTTCAGCACAAAAATTCGGTCTAGTTTTCACATGTGATTTGTCCGTTCAGACCAATGTGTAAAAAGAGACAAGAGAGCCAGTTCCAGATTCTTTCTCTGCTAATCAATGTCGCTCCGCAAAATACTCTGTTTGTGAACGCCACCAAATTACAGTTTTATATAACAGCAGCGGTTCTGGGCATCGAGCAAATCTTATTGGTCGGCTAATTTTATTCACTGTGTGATGGGAAAAAAATTAGAACACCACTCTGGAAAATATGTCACATTGATGGCACGCAAATGTTTGTGTTGGTCTGAACAGATGCATTACGAGCCTTCATTTAAATAATTGTTTATCGCATTGAATTTTCAAACTCAGCATTTGTCTTGTATGTTTGGCCTGTACACATGGAGCTTACAGCATACCATTTCAAGTACTTCAGTAGGCAGCATTGCTAGTATTACATTCAGAACATAGCCAACATACCTTGATATCCTTCAGAACCAACCCCTCCAGTCCTTCTCTGATGACACGTGTGATCATTTCTGCCAGGTCAGCAGCTCTCTGTTGGGACACAATGTCATTAGCTTTATAAAAATCATCCACCCTGAAGTCTTATCATAACATCAACCTTTAATTAACTTGACCTGCCTACACATTTGTAAGCATCCTTGAACATTGAGAATATATGCATCATGGTAGTGAAAGAAAAACATAAAAACACTGCAGAACTGACCGTGACATGCTTCATTTCTGAGAAAAGAATCCTGTTAGGAACTTCCACCATATTGTCAAGGAGAAACTTTCTTCTCTCACAGAGAGGCCTGGAAAACATCACCACATCAACATCTTTCAAGTCTTATATTAAAAATATCAATCAACCTTTAATATAAATGTTGTATTGTTCTCTAAAACCGGCAATAACGTTCAGATTAATGAAAAATGCATTCCTTTAGGTTGACTCACTTGTCCATGAGACTGACACCATTAAAATAAATGCAGTCGAACACGAACAGACCCACTTGAGCGTCCTGGAAAGCTGCTTTCTAAAAACACGGGGGAAAAAAATATTTTTTCAGCAAGCATACATTAAAGGGGTCATATGATGCTGCTAAAAAGAACATTATTTTATGTATTTGGTGTAATGAAATGTGTTTATGCGGTTTAAGGTTCAAAAAACCTTATTTTCCACATACTGTACATTATTGTTTCTCCTCTATGCCCCGCCTTTCTGAAACGCGTCGATTTTTACAAAGCTCATCACAACGAAACACACAGCGCCTTCACGACATGGCGGCGGCGGCGTCCACAATACTACAGCGAGAATAAAATTTACGCCGCCTTTCTTTGCGTGAACGTTTGGGCGGCGTTATGCAAATCTTCCCACATCGTGACGTAGACATGTGGGGGCGTGTTAGAACGAGCTGTTTTAGGTAGGCTTGGTTGACTCTTAACTCTTATAAAGAAGATCTCTTTGGATTTGAGACTTTAGTCTTTGCAACTTTACAGATCTTCTTTATGCACCAAGAGCTTGTA